GTCATAAGAAAAGCTACGTTGATCATTGATAGAGGTTGTTGGAGTTTAAGATGCAAGAACATAACTTCATGAAAGTGACCCTGATCACTAACATCGAGAGAGCAATTAAGGCAAAGATGCTTGCCCCTAAGTACATCAACCCATTTGAGATCTTAAAGTGAATTAGGTCAATAGCCTATTGGATCGTGTTGCCCCCACACTTGTTTGGCATCCATGATGTTTTCAATATGTCTTAGTTTAAAAAGTATCAATTAAACCCATCCCACTTTATTAAACCTGAGGAAATAGAACTTCAAGAGAACTTAACTTTCCAAACCAGGTTGGAGCAGATAATTGATAGGAAAGGGAAATAATTAGGCAATGAGGCAATTAAACTAGATATGTTAATGTAGAGTGGGATAGGACGCCATATAGGAGACTTAATAATAAATGAGGCAAGACTTTCCTTACCTATTTTAGGTAGGTACAATTGTGTTGTAGACTAGTAGGTTGTTTTGATCTTTATTGGTTATTTATCATTTATTGTTGGTATGGCATTGTTTTGAATGCTTTACTCTTTTGCTTTATGTCATTGTGATTGTATTTGATTGTGTGAATTTTGAGAACAATATTCTTAAAAGGGGAGAATTGCAACATCCTCTTCCTTAAAGGAGCACTTGCATCTTGTTTGTAGCTATAGGAATGCTTTACAAAGGGTTAGAACACCTTGAAAAGGTCTTATAATAAGAAAGTAGAGGTTCGTCCATGTCTTACTCTGTACTCTGTCTACCTCTATAGGCAGATGTGGACTGTATTATTCACGTCTGCTATGACAATCACTGTATAAGTGTTTTTTAAGGTTTAAAATCATTCAAAACTATCCCCTACTTGTGAAATAAATCTCTCTCACTCACTCACTCAGAAGTTCAAAGTTCTTAAGGGTTTAAGGTGATTTTAAGACTCTAAATCACCAAAAGCATCCCTCCTTTACTCTCCTCTCTCCCTATTTTCTTAATTTTCCTGTATATTTCTTTGACTAGAAGCATGAATTTGGGTGTAGAAGGTTAGGATTGATCCATGAATAGGAATTTAAGATGTTTTTTCTAATTTTAAAAACCCTGAAGAACTTAATTTAAATACTATATGGTTAGATTCACGATTACTCGAGGCCATAGCTTCATAGAATTGTGATTTTCAGGGACTTGAGATTAGTTTAAGGCTAATAAAAAATTTAGATAGATGAATTAATTAGAATTCATAAAACGAGAAAAATACAGTTAAATAATTATAATGCAATCAATATGATTAAATTTAAGTCATATACGACACCTAAAATGTGTGCAAGTCTTGGAGGTTCTCTTTAGATTAGAGACCTCAGGTTCTTGTCTTAAACTCTAGCTAATTATTTTAAAGTTTATGTTGTTTGCATGTGTTGGTAGTCAACTATTTTCCTAAAGGAACTATTATTGAATATGGCTAATGAGGATGATTAGTGATTGCTAGTTTTAGAAAATAACTACAACTTAGTAGAGAGTAAATATACTTCCATAAATGAATTCCTGGGCTAAATATGATTAAATTTGAGTCATGCATAAACACCTTAATTGATATTGATAGGGAACTAAAGGACTAAATAAGTATAGTTATTGATAATGAATGATAAAAAGAAGTTAACGGAGATGTCTGGGATTAGAAAAAGGGTTATAAATCATAAATAGTTAGTAGAGTTAGATATTATGAATTACTTATGGCTACTAAATAGATCTTTAACTATTTGAGATGTTAAGAATTCTAGAGGTTCTAATTGAACTTTGAATTTGAATGTATGTGCACAAGACTTGGAGGTTCTCTTTTTTGTGTTAAACTTAAGCCTAGGTAACTAGGTTGAAGTTTAAGGTGTATGCATGTGTTGGTAAGCAATTGTTTTCCTAAAGGAACAATTATTGAATTTGGCTTATAAGCATGATTGAGTAAATATACTTCCATAAATAAATTCCTAGCTAGTTTAGGACTAATTACTATTGATTGAGTAGGGACTGGATAGAACCAATGAAAATATTATATTGTGAACTTGTAGCTATGCTGGACTAAACATGGCATAGAATCGATTATCACAAATCCGTAGAGAGAAACTAAATTGGACATACGATTGATATAATTAGACTAATTATGATTGTCATATTACTTATATCAGATTATAAATTGCATGATATGGAGTATTAAAGGTATTGGGTCATTTTATAAGAATAAAGTTGGTACATGATCACACTCTCATTAGGTAGCATCTATGTGCCTAAGCTGTCTCAGTCCTCTGGATAAGGTCAAGATAGGTTAGATTCCATTTATGGCACCCCAAGTGTTCAAAGAGGGGTAGGTCATGGTTCGGGTAAGAGCTTTAGGCCTTTAGCCATGCAACATCTCCTAATTAGAGAGTTAGGACCCCTAATCATAAGTTTTGTAACATCTAAGAAAATTAAGTGTGATTAGTTAACCTAATAAATGTGATTAATAAGTTAATGAGGTGTGTGGCCAAAGGAGCCTAATTGATGTAATTTATTGTAATTTTATCCCTATAAGTGGGTCTAAATCGATGGCAGGCCACCCAGGTATGGAAAAAGGAATAAAAAGTGAAAGTGTCATATATCGTGACATGTGGTGAATTTGCCATGACACACAAAGGCAGATTCAAAGGCAACGAGCCTCTTTGTGCCTTACGGTGCACGACCAAAAATCTGATTAAATCTATTTATGCTTTGTGTTTGAGAATAGAGAGGAGGAGAAGAGAAATCTAAGAACACATGAAGCTCTGTTAGGGCACACACATTAGGACCCTTAAAGGCAATTTTAAGCTTCTTAACACTTGAGGTAAATGTGATAAGCTTTCTTTTTCCTTTCTCTACGACATTTATAGATATTTAAATTAAGGTTTGGGTTGGAAGATTGATTTTTGGTCTATAGGAATTATGAATTCAATTCCATTGGATAAAATAGATATGATGGGAGTTGTTTTTGGTAGATAAACCCTACCTTGATGATTTTATTAAGAGTTTATTGGGTAAAGCCATTAATATGCGAAAATTGCCATTAATATAGTTGTTGGGAGAGTTGAGGCTCATTAATGGTGGTTTAAGACTCAATGGTAGTAATGTGAGTTAATGGAACTTAATGAACACATTGGGTATAAATGGGTAATAATTTATAAAATTGATAGAATAGATATGTGTAGATTGATGTTGATAAATCCCTAAGAGTGGGATTATGATGATATCCTTGTTTTATGATTGTAGTATGGTTTAATTTGACACCATTCAAGCTTGTATGAAGCTTTAAAAGTTGGTATTGTGAGGGGTAAACCTTTGACCTCTCAAAGTTTGAGGTAATTGAGGAAAGTTAATTTTATATAGTTAAATATTAAATGGCTATTTGTTGAAAATGGGTTGATGTGAATTAAGATTTATATTTTGAACCATTGGTGCAATTTAGCAACGTAATGAACTTGTAAAATAGTTTTAGAAAGGGTAACCTTACATTCCACCCAATTGTGATTTATAAATTTATTTTGGCATGTTATTGTGAAAGTAAAAATTGTGATGTGTAATGTGGAGTATTTAGAGTAATTAAATATGAGTATGTAAGTGTATATGACATGAGATGTTTGATTTAAATGCATAATTGTGTGAGTTGTGCATAGCATGATCATTGGCGGGAGTTCGCTTAGGAAGAGGAGTAGATTAATATGACATAAGATATTTGATTTAAATGCATAATTGTGTGAGTTGTGCATAGCATGATCATTAGCGGGAGTTCGCTTAGGAAGAGGAGTAGATTAATTTAAATCTACGTGATACCGGCAGTGACCGTTAGAATCACGAACTTGCCTTGACACCAACCATTGAAATCGGGAGGTAGCTCATTTCTCATAATTGATTCGGGACTTTCTAACTTATTTTATAAGAAACTTGAACCTAACTAATCTCTATCAGTTCATGAGGAAACTAGATTATAGATACGACACCTCATGGTTGTTATGAAAATTGTTTGCTATTTTGCATAAACAAGAATAATGTATGAATTCGTGTTTTTGAGGTATGTTTAATCCTTTTATATTATAGTAGGCTTGTGTTAGAGGGTCGCTTCTTTTTTGCCTTAATAGTCATAGAAATTTGATGTTGATTAATAATATACATTAGCCTTTTCTACTATGATGGCATATGTGATTGGTTGACTATTCTCTACCAAGTAGGAAGATATCTAAGTATTGTAGTTTGATCGTTTGATATCACATTTATAATAGTAGAAACTAATTGTGAAGACTAGATTGAGCCATGGCAGTTGCAATTATGAGCAAGTGAAAAACTTGCTTTTGTAAATGTTATGGTTAGTGAAAGTACATTGTTTCAATTTGTATGAGGGCGACTTATGCACTTGTAAGAATCCGCATTTCAATAAAATTTGGAAAGCTTCATCTTCAACTTGTTGATTGCAATATTAGTTGTTTATATGTTTTGACAAACTTTTGTATCTTCCACTTTTTCTTTTCTTTTGGGAGTGCGTTTACTCAAATTGCCCTTTAATTTCATGTTTTGTAATTAGCTATCTCTTACCACCCTGACAATTGCATCTTCTATAAGACCTGGCTCTTTCTTTTTCATTTTCCAATTATAAGTAACAAGATTTCCTTTTCATCAAAAAAAAAATTAGATAAGGAAATGTAGAGGATGCAACATTCACAAAAGGTGACTGGAGCATGCAAACACACATCAATAACTTATGTACGTGTTGCTTGATAAAGATGATATGACTTGTGAATAGAACTTGTGAGAATTAAAATATTAAAACTATAACACGAAGGTTGAACGACATAATATTAATTCTTATTATATAGTTTATTTAAAAATGTTACGTAGTTTTATTTTAGTTGAAAATTTATTGATTTAGGTATCATGGTGAAAAATTAATAATGAAATATGAAATTATATTACAATCTATAGTTGGGGGATGAAGGGAAGAGAAAATGATTCTTGTCCGTGAGCTTTAGAATGCCTCGCCTTACTCACCGTTCATGAATTTTACGTGCTCCCCTCCCTCTCGGGACAACCTTTAGACTCTTTCTTCTTGTCCTCATCTTCTCTCTGAGCAGGAATTCATATACTCATAATTTCTCTCTTTAGTGTGGTTGCATTACGTATCCTTCATTTTGTAAATCCAAACAATTTTCGGCAATCATCCTAGAATCATGGATGATCGAGTTGAAGATGATGGTAAGGAAGCCTTGGGCGGGTTGAACTCTCTTCCTCCTCACCGCAAAGCACATTCCTATAGTCAACAGCATAGAGTTATCTCTACCCATAAACGCCATCAACAAGTCCGCAAGCATAGTCTTGATGATGATCGTTTATCCCATAACATCGAATCTTTTTACGATTCCGGAGATGACGACTTTTTCCCCAATTCCTCCACTAACCCGGGTGGCATTGATGAGTACCTTGACCAAAGACCTGGCATGGACATTGGTAGTGGTCCTGGTGATTTAACACCATGCCATCCGTTGCCAGAATTTATAGGGAATGGTGGTGAAAATGGGATCTTCAAGGCTCCAATACGAGCGGCTGTTCATCCTGGTCGTCCACCATGTCTTGAGTTAAGGCCTCATCCATTGAGGGAGACTCAAGTAGGAAAATTTCTCCGTAACATCGCTTGTACCGAAGAGCAGTTGTGGGCTGGTCAAGAAAGCGGGGTTAGGGTGTGGCAGTTTCAAAATGCTTTTGCTCCTGGTTGCGGACTTGGCGGGAAGGTAAGAAGGGGTGATGAGGATGCTGCACCATTTCATGAATCAGCAGATACCCCTCCCACAATATGTTTGACGGTTGACAATGGAAATAAATTGATTTGGAGTGGTCATAAGGACGGAAAGATTAGGTCTTGGAAAATGGATCAACCTTTCGTCTCCCCCTTTAAGGAAGGCCTTTCTTGGCAAGCACATAGGGGTCCTGTTCTTGCCATGGTTATAAGTTCGTTTGGTAAGGACTTCTTGTTTTTTTCCCCCGTCGATATTTAGTGCATTTGCCCTTTTGCTTTTAGCACAAACGTGAACAGCACTCTTAATATACAGCTGTAGTGTTGATTTAGTGGTTCATGTTACTTTAATCCAGGTGACATATGGTCAGGTTCTGAAGGAGGTGTTATTAAGGTCTGGCCTTGGGAATCAATTGAAAAATCTCTGTCCCTGTCTCCTGAAGAAAGGCGTATGGCAGCCCTACTTGTGGAAAGGTCATGCATCGACCTCAAAAGTCAAGTCACTATTAATGGGGTCTGCAATATATCTTCTCAAGAGGTGAAGTACTTGTTGTCTGATAATGTTAGAGCTAGAGTCTGGTGTGTTGGGCCATTATCCTTCTCATTGTGGTACGCTTCTTATTCTGACATTGTACTATTGAGGTTGATACGCGTATTTGGTTTTTAAATTTTGATTTAATATGCATTATATTTTCACAAAAACACATTTTATAAGGAATTGGCAAAGAAATTGTTTTGGTAACATTTATTTCCAGCTGTCAATTGCCTGCAACAAGGGTGCATTTCCAAGGGTTTTATTCTACTTGTAAAAATATTTGAGGTACTAAATAAAAGTTTCCCTTTATAGGGATGCTCGTACAAAGGACCTTCTGAAAGTATTTAACATTGATGGTCAGTTGGAAAATCGAGTTGACACATCATCCATGCAGCAAGATCAAGTTATAGAAGATGAAATGAAGGTTAAGTTTGTTTCTACCTCAAAAAAGGAGAAATCACAAGGGACTAGCTTTTTACAAAGATCACGTAATGCTATAATGGGGGCTGCTGATGCAGTCCGTCGGGTTGCAACCAAGGGAGCAGGAGCATTTGTTGAAGATACTAAAAGAACCGAAGCTATTGTCCAAACAAATGATGGAATGATTTGGAGTGGATGTACAAATGGCTTGCTTGTACAATGGGATTGGAATGGGACCCGTGTGCAAGATTTTAATCTTCATCCCTGTCCAGTTCAGTGCTTCTGCACTTTCAGAACACGATTATATGTAGGCTATGTAAGTGGTATTCTGCAAGTTTTGGACCTTGAAGGCAATCTAATTGCAGAATGGATTGCTCATAATAGTCCTCTGATTAGATTGGCGATTGGCAATGGTTATGTTTTTAGTTTGGCTACTCACGGTGGCATACGTGCATGGAATGTTGCATCACCAAGTCCTGTTGACAACATAGTGAAGTCTGAATTAGCTGGGAAACAACTTGTATACACTAGACGGCATAATGTCAGAATTTTGATTGGCACATGGAATGTTGGTCAAGGAAAACCATCACAGGATTCACTTATGTCATGGTTGGGTTCTGCTGTGTCTGATGTAGGCATTGTAGTGGTTGGTTTGCAAGAAGTGGATATGGGTGCAGGTTTTCTAGCAATGTCTGCAGCAAAAGAAACTGTATGACCTTTAATAATATTTTTAATGATGTCTTTAACCTCAAGAAATATGTAACTTGGAAATTCTTTGCTAACTTTCTATTTATAGCGGAGCTACACTATGAACTGTCTTACAAATTGATACTAATTTTCTAAGTGTAAACATGACGTATGCTTGTATACATTATGAAAAATAAGCCAACATATTTGTTAATTGAATTTTAGAAGAATGAACTTGATATGTCATAATGTTGGTTTTCTTGACATCCATATTAAAAGATGCATTTTATACTACTGTATGACTGCAGGGACTCATTTTATTTGTTTATTAATATTGCCATATATTTTCTCTCTTTAAAGTGTTTATTTTATGCATGTGTTGACCAATCCCAATTGTAGGTAGGGCTTGAAGGAAGTGCAGTGGGGCAATTGTGGCTGGATGCAATTGGAAAGACATTAGAAGAAGGAAAAACCTTTGAACGTATGGGTTCTAGACAGCTTGCTGGCCTGCTTATATCTCTTTGGTGAGTGATTCTCATGAAAGTATCTTGCTGGTTCATCAAATAGTAATAAACCTATTGTTTCTATTACTTTTTCAATGTTACTTCAATTATTATAGTACGAGTTGAAATTCCTTAGGGTGAGAAAGAATCTTAGGACACATGTTGGGGACATTGATGTTGCAGCAGTTCCTTGTGGCTTTGGACGTGCCATCGGTAACAAGGTTTGTCTTAATGTCTTTGTCTACATTAAAAATTGTTCATTGTGTGCAAATTAAAGGATAAGTTTCCTTGTATTTTGCAACTATAGGGAAATACCATTGTCTGAAGACTCTATGATTTCAACCTCTTAGATTGAATCTTGAACGGTTGAATATTTTTTTTTATGCATGAAACACTTTCTTAATCTATATGTAATCATGCCTTCATTGTCACATATATTTTCAATGATTGAAAAAAGTAGAAAGAAAATAGTATCTATACTGAAAAATAAATAGAGAGCAGAGATTCCTTTCCATGTATCATGTTATTTGATGTTTTTCATCTCATTTGTAAACAAACTACTGTGGCTGCATACATGCACTATGTAGGACATAATGCTTTTGCTTAGTTAATCACTTTAGTCAGTAGTCCCTATGTGGTGTCTTAGCATTATTTACTGATAATAGTAAATTGTATAATAGTCAATAAGTAAATAATTTGTTTCTGTTTTCCTCCATTAATTTGAGACAAAATTTTACCTGTTTTATTAAAAGATAGATTGCCTTGATAAATTTTTTACTTTGAGCTTTAGAATATCTCTTTTGCTGGAATCAACATTGATGAGGCTGAAGTTGTTCAAGCAGGGAGGTGTGGGTTTGAGAATTAGAGTCTATGATAGGACAATGTGCTTTGTGAATTGTCACTTGGCCGCACATCTGGAAGCAGTTAATCGTCGCAATGCTGATTTCGATCACATTTTCCGAAATATGGTCTTCAGTCGTTCATCCAACCTACTTAACACTGCAGCTGGTATGGTGTCATACCTGTTTTTGTGTTGCTCTCTAGCCTTCTCATCGTATTTATTTTGGCTGCTTTACTCTTCTGGCTTGCCCTTGGTCCTCTCTGCTCCAGCTGGTGTTTCAACTGCTGTTCACATGCTTCGTGGTACAAACGTGAGCATTTTTCTTTCAACCTTAAATTATTAATTTTTCTGTCAATCAATATTCTCATCATTATAAGGAATATGGGAGGAAAGTTAGAAAGAGATCTAGAGGGAATGTGAGAAACATAGTCAATAAGTTTTGATTTACATGTCATCTTATTTAAAGAAGATGCACAAGAGAAAGAAATCATGGCTAGTAATTACATAATCTAATCATCCTAATCAATCACAATCATCTTAATCATTCATAATCATCCTAATTATTTACAGTCAAGGATAAATCAAATTGTAGTCAAAACCCATCTTCAAGTTGGAGCATATAAGTCATATGCGCCAAGATTGTTGCAAATGTAAGAAACATGGGTCCTCTTCATGCTTTTATAAGAACATTAGCTAATTAATCAATAAAATTAACAAGGATAGTGGTAATGGTTCTGGATATGATCTCTTTTATAAATGACAATCAACTTCAAATTTCAGCATAAAGCAGCTTTATTAACAATCAACAACAGTTCGATCATGATCTCCAGATTGAAGTTCTTAAAGTAATTGCTTAATCCACTTAAGTTCACATGCCGCCAATGCTACAGCACAATATTCAACTTGAGTGCTAGATCTTGTCATCACATATTGTTTCTTGCTTTTCCAAGAGATAAGATTTCATCCAAGAAATATGCAAACCAGTAGCGGATTGACAACTAGTAGGCTTTCTTGCCCAGTTTGCATCAGAATATCTAACCACTTGCAAGTGTTTCTGATCCTTATGCTTGCCAAGTGCTCCTAGATTCAAGAATATGTATCACTGCTTACCAATGACTAGAGTATGGTGATTGTAGGAATCGACTCCCCACAGTCTTAGTAAAAGATATCTAGGCAAGTGGTTGTATGGTTTAACTTTGTCAGCTAGTCGTTGATATCAAAAAGAATCCCTTAAAGGCGCCCTATGCTGGTAGAAGTATATGTTAGGATCCATTAAACTGCCAATTGATCAACAATGTTCTAACATGTTGGTTTTTTTCAAGAATGTATAGTGCATACTTCTTCTCTAAGATCACGACTCTAGCACTAGATTGAGTTGCCTTACTCTAGTACTTCAATTTTTACTTCAATTGTCTAAACCCATAGTCTAAAAATGATCAAGCAAGTGTTGTTCAAGTTCACAAATTCCTTCTTGATCATTGCATATGATGATATCCTAATTGACAATTAGATATTTATATAGATATTATGCTTCCAGTGCACCTAGAATAAGTCGTGGTTAGTTTCACTTTTAAGTAATATAAATTATTGCATAATGCTGGTAAAACACCCAAACCAAGCCCATGGTGATTGCTTTAGTTCATAAATACAATGACATAACTTCATAACTAAGAAAAACTCCCTTGAAGAAATAAATCTAGGAGGCTGCTCCTTGTTAGCTTGTTCTTCAAGATTATCATGAGGAAAGGCATTTTTATATCAAGTTGGTAAACATTGTTATGTTTAATAGCTAGGACCACAGATCTAAGCTTCAGTTTGCTTATTGTAATTCCTCACATTGTTCTCCTGTCCCACGCCATTGATCTGCCAAACGCAATTGTTCATGTAGATCACCGTCAGCCCCTCCATTACCCAATCCTTTTCTTTGTCATGACCATCAGCCATTCCAAATCCCGTCCATTCATCCATACCAACACATGCACGCATAAATACACACACATACCCCAGATCACGCGCATATGCCACCCTGGCGGTCAGCGGGAGAGACATGTGAGGACAACTCTCATAGAAAGAAGAGGGCACCCACTGGGGGAGAGCTCTGAAAAGCAGTTGCCTTCGCGATAGAGAAACCCTCTTGAGAGAGAAAAGGGGACGATGAGTCACTCTAACTTAGTTCTTGTGCTACAGCGGGACATTACTAGTATTTAGTTGTTGTTCTCCCTTGTTATTAAAAAAATCAAATCAAATCAAATCATCCTAGTCGATCATAATCGTCTTAATTATTTACAACCAATGATAAATCAAATCAAAATCAACACATCATAACAATTGTAAGGCTTTCAATATGTTGTAGGTTGTATGTGTCAACTCTGAAGAAGCAAAGCCTGAATTAGCCGAAGCGGACATGGTGGTATTTTTTGGTGATTTCAACTACCGCCTTTTTGGTATATCTTATGACGAGGCAAGGGACTTCGTTTCCCAAAGATGCTTTGACTGGCTTAGAGAAAAGGATCAGCTCAGGGCAGAGATGAAAGCTGGAAAAGTTTTTCAAGGAATGCGAGAGGCAATCATCAAATTTCCACCCACTTACAAATTTGAGAGGCATAAAACAGGTTTAGCAGGTAAATACTGATAAGTACTACTTTTGGCACCTTTTATTATATAAAATTGTTACTTGCTTCTAATTGCTTAATGTGTGCATAACAGTTTCAGTGTAGTGTATTGTCAACTTTTTATTATTAACCATGATTGATGGAAACCGATGATGTGGCTTACTGGAAATATAATGCCCATGTCAATTACTTTCATGGCGAACACAAGATGACAGGTGAACTTCATTGAAATTACTGCGTAATATGTAATTCATGATGCTAATCTGAAACTATCAAAAAACGGGACCAAATTGAAACAAAAATCAAAGTACGTCGGAACAAGTATATATATCATCATCATATATTGTATATTTGTATAGACAGGATCTCAGGATGTCTGTAATGACAGAAAAGATCATCCAATCCAATCAAATTATCTGTATTATTAATATGTCGAGGTGCATTAGGGATTTCTTTAGTTATCGTTAGAAATTGACAAACGCATAACTTCTGCATAATCTCAGGCTATGATTCTGGAGAGAAAAAGCGTATACCTGCTTGGTGTGATAGAATAATATATCGTGATAATCGCTCAGCTTCAGTGTCTGAGTGCAATTTAGACTGCCCTGTGGTGTCATCAATTTTACAGTATGTTATACGTCTATTGTTGCTTTGTGCTGTCTTTTCTTTTCAGTGCTTGGTTACAATTTGTCACCATTCTAGCTATTTACAGGTATGATGCATGCATGGATGTGACTGATAGTGATCACAAACCAGTTCGGTGTAAATTTAATGTCAAAATTGCTCATGTTGATAGATCAATAAGAAGAAAGGAGTATGGGGAAATTTTGACTTCCAATGAAAAAATTAAATGTATGCTTGAAGAGTATTTTTATGTTCCAGAAGTCTCTATCATCCCGAATTGTATAGTTCTTCAAAATAAGGACATATCATTGTTGCGCATAACCAACAGAAGTATGAAGGATAAAGCGATCTATAAGATCAGTGGTGAAGGCCAATCTAACATTAAGAATGACGGAGAAGCACTTGATTTTAGCCCAAGAGGTGCCGTCGGTTTTCCTAGATGGCTTGAGGTACTTGTGCCTCTTTTTTATTATTTATCATTATTTGGATTGTAAGATCCTACTGCATATGCAAAAGTTATGGCCTCGTTATATTTTTCTCAACCGAGGGCTGCAATTTTCAAAACAAATCATGCTAAGATCAAAACTGTTTAATTCATTAAATTATTGATCTTGTTTCGCCGTCCATTAAATTATTAACATGAATCTTTAAATTTTATCCTCAAGAATAGTAAAATCAGTCAGCTCCTTTAGATTAAATATTGACATTTTGATTTGCCAGTTAAGCTTTTTAAGACAATAAGATTCCTATAAGAAACGGTTGTTTGTAATTCTGGGGAAAAATTGTATTAATTAGAATAGGTTTACATCAACACTCTAGTCGTGCATTGATGTTGAGAATGTGACCAATTTATGATGCACCTCGGCATTTTTTTTCAAGTTGGTCGAACTATAGTTGATCAGCTGTATTAAAACACTTAACTAGAACCAAAATACTTGATTGTAGCCGATATACCAACTGACAACCATGTCGTTCTTTTGTTTATTTAATTGTCTTTAAATTAGGTTATACCAGCTGCTGGCATAATTAAACCTGAGCAATACGTAGAGGTCTCAATACGTCATGAGGAATTTCATACCTCAGAAGAAATTGATGGCATACCGCAGAACTGGTGGTCTGAAGACACACGAGATAAGGAAGTAATTTTGGTTGTTCATGTTCAAGGCAGTTTCTCAGCCCAAACTTGTAGTCAGAAAATATCTGTGCGCCATTCCTTCTCAGCTAAGTCAGTTCGAGTTGACTCAAAATCCGACAGTGAAGGTTGAAACCAAGAAGACTGAACAATCAAACGGTCTTTAACAATTTAGCAATTTCCTGTAATTGATTATTTATGAAGTTCCAAAACTTTCGGAATGGAAAGGAGTGGAATTTCAAATATAGAGAATCACAAGAGGCATCCTCGTCGGAGTGATTATCAGCTAACTATTTAAATCATCTCAGGACGAGTTAGATTTTTATATTCTAGCTTTATATGGTAACTAGCATTTACTTCTCGTGCAATGCACGAGAGTATTTTCTTACATATAATATCTTTAAAGTATTATATTTAATTCTTTTTAGAGTTGTTTTACATTGTACAATAAGAAAACACGAACTTCATGAATTTCATTTAATGTAATTATAGGGCATTTTTCAAGTTTGTGGCTTGGTGGAACTAGTATTAAGGATATATTGATGATGTTGAAACTTGGTAATCCTCAGAAATATGATTTATTAGAGCCTTGAAATAACTCATAAATTTAGACTTGTGAGTTATATTTTGTAAGATTTTATAGCAACCATGTAAGAGCATGTAAGCTAAATCCTCCTAAGAAAGGAACTATGTTGTTGTTAAACATTGAAATCATTCCTTGTAATTTCCAATGAATCCTAATCAAAGATTGCAATTTTGAGGAATGCAACTTATGACCATCTAATACCTTACCAAACAAAAACGTCTCCTATTAAAAAATAAATCATTGTAGCCATAAGAGGATGACCAATACCGAGTTGATTGAGACATTCAGAGCCACAATATATACATGTGTGCGCGCGCGCGCCCAAAATAAATTGGAAGGAGATGCAAGAAAAGTAATCCAGTGACGCAACCTAAAGAAGAATGATTAGAAGAACCTAGTACTTGTACTTGCCTCAGCAACAAAGCTCTAGGGTCAGTGATTTTCACCCACATCGTGTTGATGGTTCTTCACGGTGTGCTAGTATGTGACATCAATTATCACTGGAGAAGGATGTTTTCACCTCTCAAATTCGATTTGAATCTCTGCTTCTGTTGGATGATTACCAAGAATGAAAGAGAAATTAAAGCCCCTCTTTTACTTTGCAGTAGATGGAGATGATGATGAAGAGCGAGTTACACTGCGGTGGTGCTGATGATGATGGAGATACGGTGCTGAGATTACAATTCTAAGCAATGTGTTGGGATCTGGAAAAAGAGAGACAAAAGCTTTCCAAGGTACTTCCCTATGAGATCTAGATTGATTACTAGTGAGAATGCTACCGAGGTTGAAGGAGGAAGACAATGACGAGATACAATGTGACAGTGACTAGGATTTTGGGACAGACACTACTCTCTGGTTGTGTACAGATCTCTCCTTCCACCAAGAAATCCTTGTGCATATATGATTTACTCAATAACCAAAACAACCAAATATAGAGTATGATAAAACCTTCTAGTTTCTCCCTTCATTTTTATAAAACCCTACTAGTTATTTTCACAAGATTAAAGAAATTGGTTCAAAGTAAAATGGGAAAAAAAATTACAACTTTCCCAAACCACCTTGTGATTGGCATAGTTCATTGCAAAGTGAAAAAAAGTGAGATGAAAAAACTAATATATAAACTAAGTAAAAAAGGCAAGGACATTTTCTAAAAACGAATTACAAATGTTTCATTAAATTTTATAGTTAGAATCATTACAGAGATTGAGTACCACATCCACCAACCCAACAGCAACGAAATGAAGTCACATTAGTTTATTTGACCATATAAGTCGTCCCCATCCTTTCAAGTTCTAACCAAAATTCTTAAACAGAATAAATTTAACGCAGTTATATATTCAAATGCTTACATAAATAACATAGCCAATATTACTTCTTTTTTATTTTTTTGGCCAGACATAGCCAAAAATACTTAGTGCCCAGATGCAAATTCTATATAATCTAGGATTCAATTATTTACCAATAGAACCGAAAAAATTTATCCGCTCTTTCTTTCCTGGCCTAACAGGTCGACCATAAAAGTCGTGGCCAAAAAAAAAAAAACAAACAAAATATATATCAATGTCAGTGTAATAGAACACTATACAAATTATCAGTTACTTGGGTTCAGGCAGAGACGTGTACACCCGGATAAAAACCCGGGATACTATAGTATTTCGCAGCACGCTAGCTACCAAAGGGGTTCTCCCGTAGGCTATATAAAAGCCTGTATCTCGTCTTCTCACAACCAGATACTGCTCAATGCCGTAGGAACTCACTAAAGCTGGAAAAAAATGGCCGTTTCAGTAAGATAACTGCTTTCCTTGTCCTAAAGTGCATACATCCTCTTGTATTCACTGTTTAAAATTTCTTGATCTGATGCATGAGACATGGATAAAGAACGAGAGCGACTCTCAGCCCTTAATTTCGTCGCCTCCATCCTATGCAAAATGACACAAAAGCACATGGAGCCAATTGTAGATAGCATTATTAGGCTCCCGATGACCGTAGCATATATAGCAAGCCATCTGGAGTGTAAGCCCACCACCACATATGTGAGAGAAATGAAGGCAATTGAAATGAAAAGACACGCCATCCACATAAGCTTGTTAATTACAAAAACAAGCTGCTTCTTTGCCTTCTGCTCGATCACAACAACAGATGTTTGAACAACCACAACAGCCAGAGAAATGAATAATGCCAAGCTATCGAACACGAAAAATATCAGAAAAGCTGCATCATTTGCTATATTTGCCTGTCCAAGTGAAAAGTCCCCTACTTTCTTTTCATCATATTGGCCAGGGATAGTGAAGATGGCTGCAAATGCAACTGTAGCAATAAGAACAGCGACAACAGTTGCAGAATTTATGGCATTGTTCAAGCCACTAATATGGAGCTTTTTCAACTTCTTCGCAATTTTCTGGACCCTCGTACCAGTTTGACGAGTTTGCTGGAGTTGGGATTGCACATCATGCTTTATGTCACTAACCGTCTGCTTAAGTTGATTTGATGCATTTCGAGGATTCTTTTGGTCGGCAGAATTAGCAGCTCCAGCATCCCTTAAAATGGAGACAAGTTCTGGAGTTCCAAATTGTTCTGCAATGTCAAGAGGGGTCTCCCCAGCCTTGTTGACGGAGTTCACATTGATACCTTCCATAGATAATAAACAGAAAACATTCTGCAGTGACCAGCACCACTTCAGAATAGATATTAAAAGCCAGATTCTTTCCAAATTCTTTTTTGTCAACTTCGTCTCACTACTGAAAAAAATTATCAAATCAAGCCACACCAGCTTTAAATTCTTTCTACTTAATAGCAAAAATTAATTTCTGTAATCTTTCCTTTTTCTCAGTTTAAATCCATTATGCATGCAATAACAAAATTATATCTTCCTCAGCCAATTTTGCTTTTGCCAGATCAGGAAGGCAAATTTAGGAAATACAATAATCTCTAACACCATACAACTGGCCAGTGGTTCAGAATAGATATCTACATGCTCTCCAATGCTATAACTAACTGATACTCTGAAAAAGCTGGTGGATTTGCTAAAACTTCTAAGAGGGAGTCTAATAGAGTACCGATTATGGTGGGATAATGTATAATTTGAGAAGTTAGAGATACATTAGGGATAAATATTATTTTATTTTATTTTAGATATTTTCTATTTAATAATATTGTTTAGATTTTATTTAGATATTTAGTTATCTAGATTTTATTTAGATATCTAGATATTTAGTTATTTAGATTTTATTCAAATATTTAGTTCTTTAGATTTTACTCTATTTTATCTAGATATAGATTTTAGGAGATTTCGTTCAATTTTTATTTAATTATCTAGTTATCTAGATTTTATTCATTATGTTAGATTGTATTTAGCATTATAAATACACTTAGCAATTCAGAAGCAAGCATATCATAAATAAAATAGACCTTTGGCCCTTTAGAGATTTCCCTAAGCGTGGCTATTAAGAGAAGTATAAAACGATATTCATGTTCTATATCATCTTGATAGATTTATTCCTTTTATTTTTTTTCTATTAGTTCTATGTTCTCTTATTAATATTATGATTAGATTCTAATTTTATATGTTAATAGATATTTATCTTCCTTATTTCTCTCTACTCATCTTGGATCCTACCATTTGGTATCAAAGCCATTCGACCCCTAATGGATTCCTACCACCTCTACACTACTTCTACAACCTCACCCTCACCACCCATCTCAACATGCACTTCCTGATCTAACCATTTTTCCTCATTTTATGAAAGGCACCTATTCCTTTACATCATAGCTCGTCTTGATGTCTTTCATTCTACCATTAAGGCACCACCAATTGTGCCAACTACCAAACAAATCAAAGCCAGCCAAGTTCATTAGGCATTAAGGGAGATATGAAAATTCAAAAACACAGAACTTCTCAACCTAGGAGTGTGTACAAGCACTTGAGTTTAACCTTAAATAGTGAATCTAAGGTCCAACACTCTAGTGGTCCCAAAGGAGTGTAACAACCTAGTCAAAATGAAACACTCTTGACTGGAAATGCGTTTGTTCGTGAGGGTAAGGATATGCGTCCTTCTCTCCTTCATCTCTCAGAGATCCCAACAAACTCCAAGCCTTCTGTTTCAAAGCTTGAACATGACAAGGAATTCATATCTCCTCTGAAAGACAACACTAAAGCCTAGATAGTGCTAGAAAGTGCAACACCTTCCTTTGCTGCAGGTTTAGGAAAAGCTACTCCAGTAATGATGAAGCTTCAGGAGGCCTTCTTTGCGCCCAAGGTTCTGAACTTGGTGGCTAGTGGGTCTAACTGCAACTTTATCCTTGAAGTTTCCATGCAACCTTTTGTTCAACCTTTTGGAACCCACATTGGAGATGCTGTTATTATCTATTACTCACATCTCAACCTCTAGAGACATAAGAAAGCCATTGCCTATGTCTCTCCCCTTAAAGGCAAGGCGAATTTTCAAGGAGGGAGTATTGATAGAGTACTGATCTTGGTGGGATAATGGAAAATTTGAGAAGTTAGAGATATATTAGGAATAAATATTATTTTATTTTATCTTAGATATTTTCTATTTAATAATATTTTTTATATTTTATTTAGATATCTAGATATTTATCCAGATACCTAATTATTTAGATTTTATTCAAATACTTAGTATCTAATTATTTAGATTTTATTCAAATACTTAGTTCTATAGATTTTTCTCTTTATTTTATCTAGATATAGATTCTAGGAGATTTTGTTCATTTTTTATTTAATTATCTAGTTATCTAAATTTTATTCATTATTTTAGATTATATTTAGCATTGTAAATATGCTTAACAACTCAAAAGCAAGCATATCATGAATAAAACAAACTTTTGAGACTTTTGGCCCTTTGAAAATTCTCCTAAACGTGGCTATTAAAAGAAGTATAGAACGAGATTTTTGTTCCATATCATCTTGATAGATTTATTCCTTCTATAGTCTTCTATCGGTTCTATATTCTCTTATTAATATTATGAAGTTAGATTCTAATTTTATCTATTAATAGAGATTTATCTTCCTTATTTCTCTCTACCCATTTTGATCCTGCCAGAGTCAAGGAAGACAATAGAAGAGAGAGGAGGGGGAAAAAACTTGTGGTTTTGAGGCTTACCCCACGGGTCCTAGTTGAAAGGAAAAGTAAAGACCAGACTAATTATGTTTTGGGGCCTGACTAGGGATATAGGCTGTGATGGAAGTGGTGCGTTACTTTTTGGGATTTTAGAGGCCTTTCTGCTGTATGGAGGGCTCATATGATGTATTTTGGAAACTGAGTGCAGTGAGGAGAGCTTGGCATCTCAAATGCCTGTAGGGGAATAGGGTTTAGGCCAGAATCAGTGAAGTTCATTGTAAGTTTGTAACACTGATTTAGTATTTTGAAGTATTAATATCAAAACCTAAGGATTTCCCTTATTTATAGCTTCTGCTGTCCTTTATTTCTGCATTAGGCTTTTATTATTAAGCAGGGTTGTATATATTCTTTCTCCACTAATCAGAACAATATATCAAGGAAGATGCTAAAAATGGAAAATATCTACGGGCTTGCCTGTTTTGATGCATTAGTGTGGTATAAAATCATTTGCCGTTGTCTAATCTTCCTAAAGTAATGGAACAGGTTGGATTAACAAGAGGAAATGTTAATTGAAGATATAGATAAAGGATAACTACAATCCCAAATAATTATAAACTCTGGCCCTTGATTAAGATAAACAGATAGAACCCTCGATTCTAATAAGCTAAAAACAAGCAAAAACCATAAAACACACTTCAAATAGGACTGAAAATACTATTGCTGAGTAATAAAGTTGATTGAAAGGGAAATAATGATTCAAGCTAACCCCATCTCCTTCATACACCCACACACTAAACTGAACATAGTTACAGGGTGGTAAGGATCAGTACAAAATACACATCACAAAGCAACAACCTAGAACATAAGCCACTTTACTCACAAACATTAAAATAAATATAGAGAAAATGATGAAGAAAGATGGTCTTCCTCAACCCCAACACACTGGACTTTTGACAAGACAGTACTTTCCAAACACACTTCACTCGCCAGAAGATTGAACTCCCTCCCTCAGCCGAATTGGAGAACTTTAAACCCAAAAAGTTACAATAGCACTGCCCCTACCCTTAGCTACACCTACTCCCAACTCCTATGTCACTTTTTAGTATAATCTTTGACCCAATGGTTGTGCCCTTATCTAGCATTTTCTTCACAATTTGCTCTTCCTTAGCAATCCAGCAGCTCTATCATAGACTCAATTTGTTAGGAGTTCAGAATAGATAGGTTTACAAGCATTCCCCTCAAGCTGAAGATCCTATGAGCTTCAACTTGTCACAATAAAATACAATTTGAAAAAGAAATCATGTCTAAACTAGGATACCTAGATATTGCGCCAATCTTAAAATGAAAATGTATCTAGACTGGGATGCCTAGATACAGACAAGGTCCCTGATAGATAAACAAAGGCAACTCCTAGAATTTCTTCACCTAGTTCTCATAGTGGCCTCCTTGATATTCTAATTGCTCCCCTTAGCAATATTAACTAATCACAATGACCTAGCTCTTGGAGGTAGAGCCGGGAATATGCACCAAGCCTTTTTCCCACATTTTAAAAAGGATTGGGCTTGAAAAATCAAAGAATAAATGAAGAAAAGGGCCTTCCGACTCAGGCTTAACAGCCCTGGAAAAGGCCGTTAACCCCCCCCTTTATGCTTTTTTTTTTTTTTCCTTTTAAGCCAAATGCTAACCTAAGGTTTCACACTCACAACCACCACTAGACACTAACGAGCGATATCTCATCTCCATCTATCAAATCTCAATCACTCCCCCTCGTCTTCATTCCTCAAAACTCAATCTCAGCCTCAAACCTACTCTTGCTCTCTACATCTTCATCTCTCACTCTGCTGCTCATTCTCTCGCTCTCTGCACCTTCATCCCTCACTCTCTAGCTCCTTGCCACTCACTCTCTTGGATTTTGCAAAAACAAAAAAAAAAAAAACACATTCAGGCTTTAGGGCTTGACCATAGGCTCTAATGGGCTAAGCCACCAGCCCGACCCATTTCCCACCACTACTTAGAAGTCTTTGATCTACTTCTCCTAAGTTGTCCTCTTCAGTGGCTAGTTGGGTTGCCCAACAGGACACCCAGTAACTTACGACTTGAGCAATAGAGCCTTCAATTTAATTTGTCTTTTTACAATTTTCAATTGTTGACAGCAACCAGAAATCTTAAACTTTAAACAAGTTACCAAATACTTCAACAAACAATTTACGAAGTTTTGTCAAAGAATGAACAGTAAGATCAACCAATAATTAGTTCAGCTGCCACTTACTTTCCAACAAGCTCAAGGAAAAAACAAATCAATAAAATTTCATCTAAACTTAAATAAAACCACATATTGCAGCACCCTGAACCTGAATCAGGTAAACCAGGAATTCCATTGGAAAAGTGGGCAAAATTCGAGCCAAGAAAAGCACAAGATATTTAAGGCTACTTTTTTCTCAAAAAAGTCTGTGACTATATGTGAAGTTCAAGACAAGAACATCTATATGGTGAATAAGCAGCAAGCCCAGGGCCATGAGGAGTCCAAATAGATTGCTCCCTAGGGCTCCAATCTATACAAGTCCCCTAGTAGTTATATGTATGATCAGTACACAAATCCCACAGTGTGTATAGGTATTATAAGAATTTAATATATGGTAGGCCTCAAACAAAATGTGTTGGATTAGGCCCAATGTAAGTTGTAGCAAGTGATGAAATCACACATTCAGCTGAAGATTGTTTTTGTATTGAATATTTTATATACATATTATATCAATCTATTCCTTCTATTGAGAAGCAATCTGAACAATTTTGAGAATATGAAACTATTTTTGGTTTTTCATTTGAGTCAAAAAAAAAAATTAAAAACTTTAGATGAAGATGAATTGAAAAAAAAAAATTGTATTAATCTTGAAAAGTTAAAGTTCAGTGAACATTCCAATATTGATGGACTTGATTTATCTTCTGAATTAAGGGTATTGAGAGAAGTTCTAATAGAAGAAATGAACATTCCTATAGAAGAGTTAAACTATATCAAAAGATTAAATTATCTTTTCAAATACATGCATTGCTTGTAGGATATTGTTGACAATACCTGTCATAGTTGCTATTGCTGAAAAAAAAATTCAAAATTAAAATTGATTAAATCATATTCAATATCAAGTGACTTTGCAACTCAAAAATCTAGAACAACAATATAAATATTGATAAGTAATATCAACCTAGGCCTCTTAAATGACTTCACCTAAGGGTCAAAAATCCCTGGACATGGCCATGATGAGCTGGCTTGCCATGTAGAACTTTGAAAACAAGTTGTGGCAGCCACTTCTTTTATTATAAAAATCCACTGATAAAGCTTAACTAAAGATGATGATAAAGGATAACTAAGACTTCTAGACAACAATAAACGGTAAGACTCTAGATAATGATAAACTAGACTTGGATAAACTCCTAAACCATTGGGAATTCACTTAGATAGGTTTCTCAACAGCATGCCAATTTACCCTACTATTATTATTCACAACCTTAAATTATGCATGAGTGTGCGCTTCAGCATTTTATTTCTGCAAGCCAACTTCAGACCCCCAGGAACAGCATGCATCAGAGATAGATGCACAAACAATCATGTATCTAACAAAAAGACAGAACTCGATATAATTAAAGTAAGCAAGGCCATTAACCTATAGAATGAATATTATGAAAGAGAAATGAGGAAGAACCTGCAAACGCCCTTTCTTTGTGGCAACATGCAATGCTGTATTTCCTTTATTATCCTCCAGACCCAAAATAGATGGGTCAGGTTTTACCAATTCTAGCAGAATTTCTTCATTTTGCCCCTTAACAGCCATGTGCAAAGCAGTTTGACCTTTCTTATCTGTCCTAAATCCAGTGCTCGGATCCTTGTTCAGTAAGGCTTTCACAATTTCCAAATGCCCCATTCTAGCTGCAGAGTGAAGAACAGTCTTTCCATTATTCCTGGCTATTTTTGCAAGGTTTGAGTCTGATTCCAAAAGGAGGTTAACCACTTCAATATGACCCTGGGTTGCAGCTGTGTGTAAAGCAGTTGAATTGGACAAATCTGTGGTCATGGCCAAGTTAGGAAAGGAGCGTAGCAGTTCTCTCAATACCTCTGCAAGATTATTTTTCTTGATAAGAGCTATAGTTAGGGAAATGTAGTAACAGACATGCTAGGGCAACAATTTGTGAAAAATATCTTAAGCACTCGCGCCGAATAAGAAAACAACACAATGATCTGAAAGACCAAAGCACTAAAATTATTCACAACAAATTTCTGATTTAAAAAATAACAAATAGCTCGGATTTTTTCGGGTACAAAGAGAATACAAAGGAGAGGGATTTAGAGGGGGGAAATCATAGAGATCCACATCACAATTGAGTAAATGACTAATAAGAAGCCACAATCATAAAATTTTCTCTCATCCATTTTATCATTTTTGTCCATTCCAAATATGTACAAATAGAGACAGGGTGTGAGGGGGAAGGGGGGAACAGAAAGAAAAATATAATAGTCCCTGGATTGCTAGGATCAAGGAGCAATATGTGGCCAAGTGGATTTCCAGTTTTGGTTTTCATCTTCAACTGAGAAGCAATAGTTTTTCACGCACATGCATGAGAGCGAAAGAAAGAGAGCGTGTCTGAAATATTTAGAATATTTAAGATTGAGGAACAATGCAACACAACCTCGAAAACAATTAAGCGCAAAACAGTATTTTAAAAATTTGAGAAACTCTTTGACTTCATATTTAATAAGATAAATAACAAGTGGAGCTATTGGTCATTACATACGATAGACAAATTTAGCTACGGTTTTTGGCAGAGCAAGAGAATGGGTTAATAAGTGACCTTAGAAAATAATGAGACGTGACCTTTTTTCCAATCACTAAGGTGCAAGAGTAAGCACAAAGAAACTAGGATAACGCAGGATTAGTAACAATATTTCCAGAATAGGACTAAGTTCTCTCATTGACCTAGTAAAACCATTGACAAGAGAGCACATCTTGTGCATTAAAAAATTTATACGACGATAAGCCAAAACGTGATGCCAAATGTCATCACCTTACCTAGATGACCATGCTTTGCAGCGACATGGAATGGATCATAGCCATTTCTAGCCGCAATAGACGCAACTTGCAGGTCCAAGTGCTTCAACATGTCGCTCACAACTAAATCATACCCATTCTCTGAAGCGACATAAAGAGGTGTCTCCCCCTCCAGATTCTGCTTTGACAACAAATCCTTTGACTCGTTACCGTCACAATTTTGAATTATCTCCTTGACTCTATTTGTGTTGCCAGCCCGAGCTGCTAAATGAAGTGGGGAGTCACCTCGTTTCCCGGGTGATTCCTTGCTCCTTTTCCTCTCGCTTCCAATGAAGCTGAGCTGCTTCTCCATCACTATGCGAAAACTTTTCTGTTTTTCCATAAATCCGCGAAAGCTCCTCTGTTTTTCCATTGCCCCGCGAAAACTTCGTTGCTTTTCCACTGTACAAGCTCGAAAGCTGCTCTGTTTCTCCATAATCACTCCAAAAAACGGCCAATGGCACTAATGAAAGTGTTCATCTATCTATGGGACAACAGAAAACATGATAACACCATCGATTAACATCGACAAATTAAACTTACGTAAATCTTGAATAAAATTTTCATAAATAAATCGACTCCTATTTAATGGATCAAATTATCATAGAGTTGAGGAAAATAATAAAGAAATCAACTAGAAACTAAATCATCTTCGTCCGTGATGGTCATGAGAGAAAACCCAGAGGCTGAAAACTGAAAATAACTTGATTCTGGGAGCTCTGCAAACTTGAATGAATAACCAGATCCAAACCCGACGGACCACGATGGGGAAAAAAAAAACAACCGATCTCGACAATTACAAGTAACAGGTATTTGATGGCTCATAAGCGCAAGAACAATGATCATTTGAGACCCATGAACTGATCGTGGAACGAATAGAGAAGAAAGCTAATCCATAGGAAAAGATACCCTGCAAGCCACGAAGTACTTGAGACAGCTGACGAGTTTACTGATTCTGTCGTCACTCACTCGCCAGTCACTCACCCCTCGTGGTTGCAATGGTATGGCTATTTTATAATTACATTTTTATAATTAAAAAATAAATTGAGAATGTTATTTTAATTGATAGGGAAAATATGGTCAGAAAAGCAATTTAATATCAAATAAGGATCACAAAAAATTTTAAAATATTATTATAAGATTAAAAAATTAATTTAAAAATAATTTTATATGAAAAAAGATTATAATATCTCTACTTTTCTTTTAAAAAAAAACTAACTAATAGTTTTATGTTAAATACAAATGTGTATTTTTAAATTAACGAATGGTTACTTATTAAAACATTATTTACACTTATCCTTTTCAATAATTAAATTTTTTTAAATTCTTAAATTATTAATTATGAATGGTTTTTCATTAAATACAAGTGGATACTTGGCAATTAGTGAAGGGCTATTTGTTGAAATATGATTTACAATTGTCCATTCTCACAAACAAATTCTTTTATATTATTGAATTTGTCAATTAGTAAATGAAGTCTTGTCAAATGCAAATAAGTACTTGTTAATTCACAAATGACTATTTGTCAATTAAAAAAAGGCAAGGTATTATAGTCTTTTTCTATCTAAAATTATTTTCAAATCAATCTACTAATTTTGCAGTAATATTAAAAAATATTTTAATCCTTAATTGACATTAAATATCCTTAATAGTCCTTGAATGATATTTTCTCTTAATGATAGGTCACATATTTGCAAAATGATAAAACTTATCCTGCAAGACGTGCTTGATTCCTATTTTAAAAAATTATTTTTATTTTTAAAAATTAAAATAAAAATTCTTTGTAATCAATTTAAATTTAAATGTTTTCAAACTTGTTTTATTTTCTTAAAAAAATAAAGGGAAAACAGCACTCTTAGTCCCTACACTTTACTTAGGTTTTGGTATAAAGTCTATAGGTAAATACCCTTAATAAACCATAACTAACTCTAAAAGTTAAGGTAATCATGTGAAAAACCTACAGGACTATCAAGTTTGTAGAATTGCAAGAGTAGGATCTCAAGTTTTTAAAATTCAAAATGCTAATACACTTTTATCATTCACAAGTCAAAGTATAAAATGTTCACTGAAATATAGGATATTTATTTATAATAGGGCATTTGCATTTAAAGTGTAAAAACTACTTTTCACCACAACACAATATGATGCACCGTGGCTCATCTGCCTCTATGCCATGCCCTGCAGCATAATGCACTAATTTGACAACATCAGGACTATTACATGACAACTCTTGAGATGAACTTTCAACGGACCTAATTTCTTCATTCGATATCCGATTGAGATGATTTAGGTGTTTACAGAGAGTTCTCTCCTAACTCTAGCTAATGGCACTAATTTCACAAAAAATTATTTTTCATTCAAAAGTGATACATCCATTTCAAAACTCACTCATTTTCAATCTTATCACACAACTTGGGTGCCCAAATCACAATTCAAATGCCATGGGCCCACACTAACCTTTAAATCACACTCAATGGAATGTAATGAACTTGTGCAACACACCACAACCAATCAATCACACAAATTTTACTTTTTCAACTCTCAACTCCTTAATCACAAAAACATAAAGGGGAGCCAAATATTCATAAATTAACTTATAAATCGTCAAAATCACTCATTTAAGCAACTCCTTACTTACATTAATATGTTGGTCCTATTTAAACTTTATAATCACATAACATATAGCCCACAACACAAAATATACATTTCAATCAATTCAAATAGTGCAAGTAATCAAAATCATGTAATCCTAGTTGGCAACTTATCCATAAAATACATATAATCAACATACGATGAGACCTACTATTAGGATTTACACAGAATACAATGCCTCAGGTCATTTTTCCTTTTTCTATTCCGATGAACTAGCCCCTGTAATATTGAAAACTGAAGGGTAAGTATAATCACTCAGTAACCAATGTCAATCTAACCTATATAATTGCATATCAATTAATTATTAATACAAATGGAAAAAAATAATCTTTTCACATATTTCGTAAGATTTTTAAAAGGTTGCCATGACTATAATACTAACAACTATATAGCTAGGCATAGCATTTAACATCTCACAACACATACAATCACTAGTGCACATGTGGGGACACAATAATAACAACTATGCGCCCCTATCAAATCACACCGAACCATAATAATAATAACTATGAGGTCAAGAATATAAAATGCTCGATAAATGCCAACCTTATACCCTCCTAATACCTCCAACATGAAACTGGTGTCTATTTAGCAGCTACATCCATGTCTCGAATTAACCAAGCCTTCAACTCATGACAAGCTACCTAACTAAAAGCTGCCTCACTCACTTGTAATTTATGGTTTTCACCAATACTAACTATGACATTTGAAAAAATTTAACCCTAAATTAGCTAAGTAAATGAGGATAATAAGTTAAATTTATGTGGTGTGTAGTTATAGAGAGCTAACAGTTGTTTTAGATTGTATTTTCTACTTTAGGATTGAGTCCAAAGTGAAGTTAGGCTACTCGAGTATGAAAAAGTGATAAGAACTAGGAGAAATAGCTCTGTGCCATATGCCGTGGTGCGTGCACAGCATGCTACGATGCACAGGCCATCTGAACACAAAATAGCCTTCTCTGTACCACATACTGCAGTGCATGGTACATGTTCTATAAAAATGATATGGAAAAAAAAATTAAAAGAGAATAAAGGAGAAAATAAAGGAGTTAGCCTTTACACTATTAGGGCTTCGACTTTAAGAAGGTTTGCATCATTTAGAAGTCATCAAACTCTAAGAATATGTGTCTTATCTTTTTCTTCTTTCCCAACAATTTTCTTGAAGTTTTTTATTAAGGTTTGATAATGGGAGATCATTTTCGATCTATATATGCTATGCTCCAAACTTGTTAACTCAAATGGAGTTGTTTTGAGCATTTAAACCTAGAAATTATGGGTTTTGACATTTTTGGTTAGTAAGCCTCATTAATGTCTGAAAATAGGCATTTAATTTGGATTTATGAGAGTTGTTAAGTTGTTAAGACATTAATGTCATTAGTAATAATTAATAATGCTAATGGGAGCTATGGAGAGTTAAAATACCTCATATGTAAGCCTAAATGTGAGAAGTAAAGGTATTGAATTTTTTGAAATGAAAATACAAGAGTTAAAAATGTGTTTTTGATAATGTTGATGAGTTTGAACTTGACTAATTGTAAATTAATCATTCGGATACCATATTTGGATTGGAAAGCAAGCTTAGAAGCATATATAAAGGAGTAAACCTTTGAATTTTTAAAGGTTTGAGGTAACCAGGGAAACCCTATATTGGGTTGTTGTTTGTTAATTGAGTTTTAATGTGAAAATGAGTTCATTTGCATGTATGATTGAACTTGTAAATGGGAAAGCATGCTATAAAACATATGTTAGTATATTAATTCTAATCTTACATAAATGTGGAGTTGAATTTGAATTGAATTTCCAAATTATGAATGTGTATTGAAAAGTGAGGTCTACGATGGGTGATGTGATATTAGTGTGCTTGTGTTAACATATGAGTATTGTTTGTATGGCTAAATGGAAACTTGAAATGTGTTATGAAACTTAGAATTAAAAAGGAGAATGCCTGTGAAGGTGACATTGATGCTCACTTGGGTAGCTTCATAACGTGAGCCCAATATGTTTATTGATTAAATAAAATTGTGAAATGAGTGAACATCATATATTACAGGATCATTTAGTGAGAGTTCGCCTTAGGAGAAGAGTAAATAAAATCCATATAATACTTATAGCTGCCTTTTGGTGCACGAAGGCCTAGCCTTATCCCACAGTTTATTAAGGGGCTATCCCACATTTTATTGAGAGACTAAAATCTAGCTATCTCTACCTATTTATCGAGGAGATTAACTTAGGGTATAAGACACGATAGAGATTTGATAATAGGAAAAGCCGTAGTCTGAGAGTAAGTATTGTGACCTTTAGTTGAGTCACACCGCACAATTGGTGAGCTTGGCTAGTCCAGTCACATAAATGAAGTCCTGATTGATATTACAACCTGCAGTTTTAGTTTAAGGAAATTATAAAGAGGAATCGATCATGCATGTGTATGACATCCTAGAAAATTTAACTTAATGATAATTAGGTAATTAAGGATAAATTAGACAATTGAGAGTTAACTTGAATTAAAAGGTAATATATGAATGGCCAATGGGTATATCAAATCTCAATTAGGGCTTAGAATGTAAAAAGCTCCAGAGGCTTAAGAATCTAAGATTCCTACTGTAAAGCCTCTTACCTAGATTTATTAATAGATAATATATTGTCAATTAGGATACATTTTATTTACAATTGCACTATATTGTTATTAATGAACTTGAGTTGTATTTTAGGCCCTAAAATGTTGTATGTAAGTTGTTAAAGTATAGATAGGGCCAAAATTTTAATGCAAGTATAGGGATGTTGATTTGCTTATAACTGTGAATGTTGATTGTGAAATGCAATGCCTTAACCCCCTATTGTTTTTGGTATTAAGGGGTTGATGAGTGAAAGTGTAACGTTGTTGAGTATATGTGCATGTAGTTTGTTGTATAGGTGGTCGTAACTCTTTTGAGTATGATCTAATTGTTAATAATTGCTTTTGGTATATATATGGGGTTTTGTACACCCCTAAGTTGTGAAAAGTATAAAAATTTAGAAATAAAACTCATGCCATTAGTTAGTTTACGAAAAAGAGCTTTCCGTAGATACTTAGAATACTTCATTTGAATGTTGGAAGGAGAAATTGGGCATATCAAAATTTGCTTGAGCTTGCTTTCAACTAATAGCATAATTGTTATCTGAAAACATGCAACACGCTGTAGTGCAAGCACAAAAAAGAGGCAATCGCGGAGCATGTGCACAAGCAACAGCACATGGCCCTGTTTTTTTATGACTTGTTATTTTTCAACTATTTTTGAGTCTTTTTACTCTCGTGAGGTATCTCATGCTTTTGAGATATTATCTTACT